CTCTCCGGCCTAAAACTTGTTGGGTCTTCCCATGATTTCTGGTCCCTATGTATAGCATAAGCATTGACTAAGACTATTGTGTCGCGTAGCACATCATACCCACCTACAGTACAATCCGAGGAGGAGAAATGGGGAACAAGAAGAGGGGTTGGTGGATACAGTCTAAGTGTCTCCGATATTATGTTTTGAAGGTAATGGAGATTCGGAACATCCGTTTCATCCATCAACCTTTCATCGCCAACTTGAGCGTCTATCTCATCTCTAGCCTTCTTTAGTACATCTGGATGATTTAGTAAATTAGCCATTGCCCACTCCAATGTAATCGCAGATGTATCAGTTCCTGCAAATATAAGAACCAAAGCAAGCCCTTTTATGATTTGATCAGTACAGTAATCGGGCTCTAATTTTTGTAATGAAAGGAGATGATCTATCATGGTGTTTCCTTCCTTGATCCGATGCTCATCAATCAGTTTTTGCAAGAATCCATCTATTCTCTTAGCAAGATTTATAAGTTTCTTCTCATCATTCCTGAACCATTTCAATATTGGCAAGAAATCTGCCACATTCGGCCCTGCGATCTACATATATATATACATAAGCAAAAGTAAGTACTTCAGTAAGTATTATTCAAATATTTTAACTTTAAAATTAAAATTTTGAAGTTAGTTAGATACTAACTGGGGACAAACCTGTAATATCTGTGCTATGAGTTCTTTAAACTGCATTGCCTCTTCATAATTGGTGACATCCTCATCACCACCGTAATACCGCTTTCCCGCCACCATTCTCATGAGATTATTGAACGTTAAGTCCACGAACATTGATTTGAGCTCTACTTTTGCAAAGCCATGGCCTGCAGTAGTGGATAGTTTTAATAATAAACGTCTCACTTCGTCTTTTCTTACTTGGAGAAGAGCGTTGAGGCGACTCTGGGAGAAGATTTCCATGGTACTGATGCGACGGAGGTTGCGCCAATGGTCACCGTAAGGGGATTGTGATAATGTGGAGTGACCATACTCAATATGCTTGCCGTAGAGTGACTTGGGGCGATTTGCCAAAATGATATCGTTCTTGGTGAAGCATTCCCCGGCTGCTGATGCTGAAGAGATGACAACCACACGGCAGGACCCCAATTTTAGAGAGATGATTGGACCATATTTTTGGGAGAGCTTGAGTAGAGCATGATGGATTGGGGGTTTGAGGAGATGAAGGTGGCTGATCATGGGGAGAGAAGGTGGACTTGGGGGAAGGTTCTTGTGCCATGTTTTGGACAAAAGTAAGAATTTGAATGCGAGGAAGAGGAGGAGGATAGCAGCAAGAGAAGAATACAGTATGATGTCTTGATCTTCCATTTTACAGAGGAGAATCTAGATGTTCACCATGCTAAAAGTCTAGAGGGTATTGTCTCTATATAAGAAGTTTTGTATAAGATAAAAATGTGATTATTTATGTCATCTTTCTTAGATGTTTTTGAGATTTTATTTTAACCATATTCGACTTTCATATATATAGATTTAAGGATATTATTAAATTATTTTTAAGAGTTATTAAAGACAATCTCTTTTTTAGAAATTAAAAAAATCATGTTAAATTTTTAAAAAAACATGAATCACAGAAGAAACAACTTCAGTTTTCACTTCATAAGATTCGCCATTCAATTCTTTCAAAGTCATTGGGCTTTATCCTCCTTTGAGAGTCTTCTCTCTTCTTCCACTCTGTCTTGAAGAGTAATTAAGGACAGATTCAGTCATGTTTTCATGTTTTAATTGAACTTTTTTTTTTTATTTAAAAAAATTTTTTTTCTGTATTTGTATATATACAAATTAATGTTATTATATTTTAATCTTTTATTTTTTTTTTTTGATCTTCGGAATTTGGATCCTCATCCTTCTCACCAGCCTTTGAACCCCAAACCCCAAGGTCAAGAATCCAGATTCTTAGCCAGCAGGACCCAGGGGAGGCTGGTATTTTTTTTTTCTAATCCCTTATTGATACCAATAAGTCCAACCTAGGAAGTTACTTTCCCATTTTGAAAATAGGGAGAA